ATTTCTATTCTGTTCCATTGGCCAAGGTGTCTATTTTTATGCTGGTACCATACTATTTTGATTATAATAGATGTATAATATATTTTGAGATCAGGCAGTGTGATACACCCGGCTTTGTTCTTTTGCTTTGAATATGTGGAAGTTTCATGGTTCCATAATATTCCGTTGTATACATATACTACCTTTTTTATACATTCATCTTTGCTGGAATTTAGGTTGTTTCAACCTTTTGTCTATTGTGAATAATGCTAATATAAATGTTGGTGTATAGTGTTTGAGTCCTTGCTTTCATTCCTTTTTGATCTATACCCTGAGGTGGAATTTCTAGATCACACAGTAATTAATGTAATTTTTAAAAATTTAATTTTTTGAGGACCCACCATACCATTTAATAGCTGCATCATTTATAAGGATTCTAATTTCTCTACATCTTCACCAACATTTATTATTTTCTATGTTTTTATTGTTTTGTATTTAAAGTTTCCGTTTGCTTTTTTCTCTATATCTTTCATTTTTTGCCAATTTGTATTTGATGATAGCTTTCTTAGTCTGGGTTGCTATAATAAATTGCTATAGATTAGGTAGCTTAAGCAAGAAACATTTATTTCTTCTGGAGGCTTGGAAATTCCAGACCAAGATACCCGCAGATTTGGTGTCTGGTGAAGGTCTTCTTTCCTGTTTCTCTGACTTATTACTGTAGCCTCATATGGGAGCAAAAGAGCTCTCTAGGATCCCTTTTGTAAGGTACTAATTCCATTCATGAAAGTCTCACCCTTATGACCTAATTACCTTCCATAGATCCTACCATATTAGGGGTAAGAATTTCTGTGTAAGAATTTGGAGGGGCTACACTGTGGTGTAGCCGGTAAAGCCGCCATCTGCAGTGCCAGCATCCCACATGGACTCCAGTTCAATTCCTGGCTACTCCACTTCTGATCCAGCTCTCTGCTGTGGCCTGGAAGAGCAATAAAAGATGGCCCAAGTCCTTGGGCCCCTGCACACACGTGGGAGACCCAGAAGAAGCTACTGATGCCTGGCTTTGGATCGGCACATCTTGGGCCATTGTGGCCAACTGGGGAGTGAACCAGTGGATGGAAGACCTCTCTCTGTCTCTACTTCTCTCTGTAACTCTTTCAAATAAATAAAATAAATCTTTAAAAAAAGAGAGAAAGAAACAGCCAGGGGTTGGGGAGCAGGTGTTTGGAGTAGCAGGTCACACACCACTTGGGATGCCCACATCCCATATCAGAGTGCCTGGGTGTGAGTCCTGGCTCCACTTTAAAAAATAATAATAATAAATCTTCCAATCATGAACACTGAATGACTTTCCATTTGTATAAATTTTCTTTAATTTACTTCAGCAATGTTTTGACATTTTCAGTGTACAAGCCTTCAAGCCTTTTCCCTATTTGATTAAATTTGTGTCTCAGTATTTTATTTTTTTTGGTGCTATTGTAAATGGAATTATTTTCTCAATCGATCATGGACTTTTTGTGTTCATTTTGTATCCTGCAACTTTGTTGAATTTCTTTATTAGTTGTAATTTTCTGATAGAACTTTTAGCCTTTCTATATATAAAGTCATGTCATCTGCAAGCAGAAATAATTTTACTTCTTCCCAAATTGAGCTTCTTTAATTTATTTCTCTGGACAATTGCTCTGACTAGAACTTACAATACTGTGTCGAATAGAATTTGTGAGATGAAGCATGCTTGCCTTATTCCTGATCCTAGGGGAGAAATATTTCATTATTTAACCACTGAGTAGATGTTAGCTGTTATCTTTCCAAATGTGTCTTTTATTATGTTGAGTAAGTTTCCTATTTCTAGTTTACTGAGCACTTTTATCATGAAAGGAGTTTGAGTTTTATCAAATTTTTTCTGCATTAACTAACATTATCATTTGATTTCCCCTTTGTTTTATTAATGTGATGTGTTATAGCAATTGGTTTTCATATATTGAACTGTTCTTGCATTCCAGGAATAAATCCTACTTGGCCATAGCATATAATCCTTTTAATAAGCTGCTGAATTCAGTTTGTTAGTGCGTTAATCTTCATAAAGGATAATATTCTATCATTTTCTTATGTTGTATTCAGCTTTGGTATTAGGGCAACACTAGCTTTATAAAATAAGTTGGGAAATATTCCATCCTCTTCCATTTTTGGGAAGACTTTGAGAAGATTTGGTATGAGTTCTTTTAATGTTTGGTACAATTCACCAATGTAGCCATCCAGTCCCAATATTTTCCTCTTTGGGAGATTTTTTATTACTGATTCAACCTCCTTATTAAATTATAGATCTGTTCATATTTTCTATTTCTTCATAAGTCAGTATCTTGTTTTTGATAATCAAAATTAGATGTATTATTATTTTATAGACTGTAGATTCAACCACATTATTTGCCATTTTCTTTCCCATCATTACTTCTTCCATGTTAGGGTTTCTGTTTGGCATCACCTGAAATACATTCTTTAAATTTACCTTAGTAAGTAGTGAATTCAATGTTTGTTTATGTGGGTATACTCTTCCAGTTTGATGATATTGTTCCATACCTTCTGATTTCTACCACCTCTACTGACAAATGAGTATTCATTCTAATGATGTCAGAGGTCAATATCATAATCCATGGAAATTGTAAATATGTTTGGTTATATGGCAAAGTGGAATTAAGGTTGCAGGTGTAATTAAGATTACTGATCAGCTGACCTTAAAATAGGGAGATTATCCTAGATTATCCAAGTGGACCCAATATAATAACAAGGTCCTTAAAACTAGAGGAGAAAAGCAAGAATGAGCGAGCGAGAGAGAAACGTGATGAGGGAAGCAAAGTCAGAATAATGCTACGTTTACTGACTCCAAAGATACAAGAAGGGAGTCATAAGCCAAAGAATATGGGTAGCCTCTAAACCCTATAAAGGGCAAGGAAACAATTTTCCCTTGGAAGCTTCAGAAGGAAGGTCTAGTGGGAGGCAATTACCCAAGTACTTGGGCCGTCATCCATTGGTGCATTAACAGGGAGCATTGACAGGGAGCTCTATCAGCAGGAGAGGAGCTAGGACTTCAGCCCACCCTCTAATGTGGGATGCAGGCATCCCAAGTTGTGACATACCTTGCTAAGCCACAATGCCAGCCCCAAAATGTTTTCACTCTTGAAGGTAACTAATGATATCATGGTATGTTTTCTTTTTGATATGGTTCAGCATCTTTTCATATATTCATCAGCCATTAAGTTATCTTTTTAATGAAATGTTTAAGTGTTCACATATTTTTGGTGAGGTTATTTGTGTTTGTCTTACTGCTTTATGAGTTTTGTAAAAATCCTGGATACTATTCCTTGCCAGCCCCAAGCTGTGAGTTTAATTGGAGTTCCTCTCAAAGTAATCCAGTGTTTCTCTCATGCACATGTTAGAATATTTTCTTTGTGTTTTACTGTGAAAAGTTTGACTATAATATGTCATGGTGAAGATCTTTTATGGTCACATCTATTAGGAGTTCTATGTGTTTCCTGTACTTGGAAATCCCTTTCTTTCTCCAAATTGGAGAAGTTTTCTGTAATTAATTCATTAAAAAGGCCTCCTAATCCATTACCTCTTTCCATGCCTTCAGGAACTCCTAAGACCCATTGGTTGGGTGGGCCAGCACCGTGGCTCACTTGGTTAATCCTCTGCCTGTGGTGCCGGCATCCCATATGAGCGCCGGGTTCTAGTTCCAGCTGCTCCTCTTCCAGTCCAGCTCTCTGCTGTGGCCCAGGAAGGCAGTGGAGGATGGCCCAAGTGCTTGGGCCCCTGCACCTGTGTGGGAGACCAGGAAGAAGCACCTGGCTCCTGGCTTCGTTGGCTGTAGCGGCCATTTTGGGAAGTGAACCAAAGGAAGCAAGACCTTTCTCTCTGTCTCTCTCTCTCACTGTCTAACTCTGTCAAATAAAAAAAAAGACCCATTGGTTGGGTTGTTTGATAGTATTCCATAAATCTCCAACTCCTGTTTTTAGTTTTATAATTTCTTCTTCTTCTCCTTCTCCTCCTCCTCTACCCTTTCTTTTTTAGTCTGACTGTAAAATTTCCAGAGATTTTCTTCTTAGATATTTCCACTGCATTCTTTTATTTGATCTATTTAATTCTTCATTTCCAGTATTTCATTTTGACTTCTCTTTAAAATCTATTTCATGGGAAATATTTTCATTTGTGTCATATGTGAATTTCTTTAATTCGTGGATTATGCTTCTGATTACTTCTAAGTAATCCTATGATCATTTTTTTAAATTCTATTTCCGGCATATCTTCAATCTCTTCATCTTCACATTCCAGTATGGAAGTGTTGTTGTGTTTCTTTGGGGGCATCATGTTGTCTTCCTTATTCTTGTTTCTTGAATTTCTGCATTTATTATTAGGCATTTCTGGAGATACTTGTTGGTTTTTGTTTCCCTGTGATGATTTTTTGTCTTTGGACTCTTCCGCTGTGGCTTACTGGAGTGTCTGTTCTTTCAGTGAATACCCAGGGTGTGTGCTGGGTATGGCCAGGGAGCTCTGTTCAGTGCTCCAGAGTGAGGGGACTGTCCAAGGTGGCACCCAAGTTGGGTGTGTAAATCTCCTCTTTTTTATTTTATCAGAGGAGAGGCTTGTTCTGCTGTGTCGGCGTTGTCTCACACTCACCTCCTCTCCTCAAAGGAGACCAATACCTGGGCACTAGCCCCAGTGGGTACAATATTCATCGGTGCTGCCCCACATACCACACAAAGTGATATGTGCAGTCCTTGATGCAATTTGATCATTCTTGTCAAGAACTATTCTTTAGGTCTCCTCCCTCCCCCATCACACTTTATTACTAGAAACTCCTTTATAGATTTGTTTTTATCTTTTTATTTGTATTTGGCATTCAGATGTTCATTAAATGTAACATTTACTCTAGGACTGCTTGTCCTGTTGGCAAGCTTGTATTAAAACAGAAATTAAATTCTAGTTAAATTTTTACCTTTTGTTTTCTTTTACATTAACATTCACAGGTTCCAACTCCAGTGGGATCACCTTCCTAAGTGGTTTATACCCAAGGAGGCTTACAGACCAGAAATCCTTCTGTTCCATGGCCTGGATGTCAGGTATGTATCAGCTGGTGTTGTTTGGGGCCTTGGTAGAGATGGCAGTCACTGAAGACAGGACCAGTATTAGAACGTAGTTTTACTGTATATACACTTTTTTGTGCACTGTTGGTATCCCATAGAGACAAGCTAACTATATAATTTCCTTCATCATAAAAAAAAGAATGATACAGATCTCTACTAACTTTTGTTAAACTTCAACTGATTTTTATATCTGTATAACAATCCTTTTATTCATTCACTTGTTCATTCAACAAACCTGACTGTGATCAGTGGATAAAGCAGCTTGGAGGTTTCATGAATGACTATAAAACTGATACCTAAATTGCGTGATAAAATTTAAAGATAAATAGCTGATTTGTGGAGTGGGGGAGAGGATGCTCAAGACAAACATATAATCAGGCAATTAGCAACAGAAGCACAATCACCACGAGAAATCAAAAGGAGGAAAAATTAATTCAGGAATGGAAGATTTCAGGACAGTGAGTACTCAATGATAAGGAGGACTTCAACTAGTAGGTGTATAGAGGATACAAGCTTGGCACTATAGGCAGAGAGCATAGGTTCAACAAAGAAGCGGAAGCAGACAGTGGTAACCTGAATAAATGCAGCTGAAGCAGCTAGAACAGTTTCATGATCCAAGTATCCATGGCCTCAGTATTCTTTTCTAGAAGACTTTGCAATGTTTTTTCCTTCAGTCTTCAGCTGATGTGTTGGACTCCATGGTTTCTGAACATGTGTTTTAGGAGGTTTGATTAATGTTTGGAAATTAGATAATGAGAAAAAAATGAGTAGAGTTTTATATAAAGATATTTATAACTTATTTTGTAACCAAAGAGAAAAATATATAGAAATGATTAATGATGTACCTATCTTTCTTTTCACTCAGATGCAGTCCATGTAGTACCAAAGCAAAAAGATCCAGAGGTGAATCATCCACATCTTCCAAACAAAATAAACATTCACTCAGACATTCAGTACTCTTGAGATTATTCACTATTGTGGAGGTTACGAACTCTATTTCTCTTGTTTTAATTGCTATCTTTGAAACTTACCCTGCAAATCTCATAAAAACTGAAATTAATATGTTATTTCCACCTCCCAACTAATGCAAGTAGCTTAGAACACCTTTTTAACTTCAAGGGTGCTCTCCTAACTTACATACTAGAGTTGGTCAATATTTTAGCCTTGTCTTACTTTTTAGTTAATATTTATATTTATATAAACAGGTTTTATCTAGATTATGGGTTTACAAATTCATTGCTCACTCTTCTTTTTTGCATTATTTCTCCCTTGAAGTACTTCTTTCCCTCTTTCGTTCTCTTTCTTTTCTTTTCTTTTTTCTTTCTTTCACAGGTAGAGATACAGACAGTGCGAGAGAGAGAGAGAAAGGTCTTCCTTCCGTTGGTTCGCCCCCAATGGCCGCCATGGCCAGTGCTGCGCTGATCTGAAGCCAGGAGCCAGGTGCTTCCTTCCGGTCTCCCATGCAGGTACAGGAGCCCAAACACTTGGGCCATCCTCTACTGCCCTCCTGGGCCACAGCAGAGAGCTGGACTGGAAGAGGAGCAACCGGGACTAGAACCTGGCGTCCATATGGGATGCCGGCACAGTAGACAGAGGATTAACTAAGTGAGCCACGGCGCTGGCCCCGAAGTACATCTTTTAGTAGTTCGTTTAGTTTAGTTTTGCTGGTGATATATATATATGTATATATATATATATATGTATATACACACACACACACACACACACACACACAAGCTGTTAAAACATTCTTGTTGGGGCCAGCGCTGTGGTGTAGCAGGTTAAGCTGCCACCTGCACTTGCAGTGCCAGCATCCCATATGGGCACAAGTTTAAGACCTGGCTGCTCCACTTCCATCCGGCTCTCTGCTATGGCCTGGGAAAGCAGTAGAAGATGGCCCCAGTCCTTGGGCCCCTGCACCTGTGTGGGACACCCTGTGGATTTCTTAAAGATAAATCATTCATGAATCCTAAGATAAGCAATAATTTGTTGCATATGTTTATTTGAACACATTTTTGGTTCAATTAATTTGTTGTAATTATAATAAATAAGATTTTTTTCAATATTTATATTTATAAGTGATTGGTATAGATCAGGAATTCACAATCAAAGTTAATATGTAAATGAGTGAATGTTGGCTGTGTACCTATAAGACTTTTTTAGAGGTACTGATATTTGGATTTCATGTAATTTTCACAAATCAGAAAATATTTTTTTCTTTTTCCTCAATTTAAAATATTTAAAAACTATGGACCATACAAAACAGAAGGCAATCCTAACTTGGCACATGGGCATGTTTGCCTATAGTTGATCTATATTTTTCTTTGTAGTGGATCATCATCATCTGATTTTGTTATTATAATAAGTGCTCAATGACTTGGGGGGAACTTTTCTACCATTTTCTGGGCTTTGTAACAGCTAATATTACATAAGAGTATATGATTCAATGAATGCAGTAGAAATTGTCCATGAAGCTGTCTAGAATTGGTAAATTTGGAGAGAGTGCATCATTCATTACCATATATATATGTATATATATTATTTAAGTTATGCAGATTTCATATATTTCCTTTATACCATTTTAGGAATATAGTGGCACTTCCCCCCCACCCTCCCTCCCACCCACGCTCCAACTCTTGTTCCCCCTCCCTCTCAGATTCCCACTCTTAATTTTTACAATGATCTATTTTCAGTACACATAAAGGTAGTATAGTTAACCCTACCTTAGGTAAAAGAGTTTAACAAATAAAATGAAGAGAAAACAAAAGAAAATAGAACAAAACACTGTTCTTCAATGAAAAGAGACAAGGGCTATAAACAATCATTGATTCTCAAAGTATCTATTTCACTCCAATACACTATATTTCAGGTACTCCATTAGTTACCTTGGATCAAGAAAAACATAAGATATCTGTCTTTTTGGGACTAGCCTATTTCAATAAGTGTAATGGTTTCCAGTTGTGGCCATCTTATTGCAAAAGACAGGATTTCATTTTTTTTACAGATGAGTAGTACTCCATAGTGTATATATACCATAGTTCCTTCACCCAGTCTTCAGCTGATGGACATCTGGGTTGCTTCCATATCTTAGCTATTGTGAATTGAGCTGTAATGAACATGGGGTTACAGATAACTTTCATATACTGATTTCTTTTGATTTGTGTAAATTCCCAGGAGTGGGATGGCTGGGTCATATGGTAGGTCTATATTCAGATTCTGAGGTATCTCCATACTGTCTTCCACAGTGGCTTTACCAGTTTACATTCCCACCAACAGTGCATTACAGTACCTTTTCCCCCATATCCTCGTCACCCTTGATGATTTGTTGATTTCTGTATGGATTCTAACTGGGATGAGGTAAAATCTCGTTGTGGTTTCAATTTGCATTTCCCTGATGGCTAGTGATCCTGAGCATTTTCTCAAGTGTCTGTTGGTCATTTGAATTTCTTCTCTTGAAAGATGCCTGTTAGAGGTTATATGTAGTTAGATGTTGTAGGTTAAATTGTGATACCCCCTCCCCCAATTTATATGCTGATGTTCTAATCTCCAGTACCCTAGAATGTGATACTATTTGGAAATAAGGTATTGTAGATGTAATTAGTTAAGATGAGATCATATGGGAGTAAGGTAGGCCTCTAATCCAATATGACTAGTGTTCTTAGAAAAAGGGGAAATTTGGAGATAGACACACACAGGGAGAACCCTGTCTCAAAATCAGAGTTTTGCTTCCATAAGCGAAGAAACTACCAGAAGCTAGGATCTTCCCCTAGAGAATTTGGAAGGGCATGCCCCTGCTGAGATCTTGATTTCAGATTTCTGGCCTCCAGAACTGTGAACCATATGTTTTTGTTGCTTAGGCCACTCTCAATTTAGAAAAACTAATCTTGGGCCTTTATGTGGGTTATTATACCCTTGTGATCCTTCGGCACCCAAGTACACACAAGTTCTCCCTTTCCCATCAAATATAATAAAACTCATGGATATACATAGGCTTGAACTCTGCTTTCATGTTCCTGAATCCCCTTTAGTCCTGATTCCTCAGGCGAGTATATGAAGACCTCTGTAATTATCAGTCTTCTATGTGTCAAGCCCAGTGTGTGGCCCAGAGAAGCAGAGACAAGAAAAACAAATGTCTACTTTAAAAAAATTATGGGATGATAGAAGCATTCATTCCCAGTTTCTCTTTTTCTTTGGTATTGACATTTTAGAATGAAGTTGAAAAGGCTTGGTCACACTCTGGGTCTTTGATATTCCAGGACACTTCAACATATCCACAAATAACAAGTCTAGTGAGTTGAGTGATATCATCAGGCACCAACATTCTAGAGGTTAGTCGTGAGCTAGACAAGTGCCCTCTCCTTGTCTCATCTGTAACTGCAAAAAAATAACTCTTCTTCCTCTCCCATGAAATGGTGAGGGACTGAAGACAGATGTCTCTCTGAGGGGTCCAGTTGATCTCCTGTACTATGACCAGGCTGTGTGATTTTTTTCCCCCATTGTGAGTCCATTTAAGCTATAGCTTATGCCCCAAGAACTCTACTCTCTTTTTTTTTAAAGATTTATTTTATTTATTTAAAAGAGTTACAGAGAGAGGTGGAGACAGAGAGAGAGGTCTTCCATCTGCTGGTTCACTTCCCAGATGGCCACAACGGTTGGAGCTGTGCCGATCTGAAGCCAGGAGCCAGGATCTTCTTCCAGGTCTCCCACGTGGGTGCAGGGGTGCAAGGACTTGGGCCATCTTCTACTGCTATCCCAGGCCATAGCAGAGAGCTGGATCGGAAGTGGAGCAGCCGAGACTCGAACCAGCGCCCATATGGGATGCTGGTGTTTCAGGCTAGGGCGTTAACCCGCTGTGCCACAGTGCCAGCCCCAAGCCCTCTACTTTTGAATCCTTCTTTCTGTGCCATACCTAGGTCCTTCAGTTAGCAGGAGAGTAATTGACATTTATTGAGATCTTACTAAGTGCCAGATAAGGGACTAAGTATTTTTATGTGCAATTCTGTTTAATCTACTTAATAAGTAACCAGAACCCTATTATTGGGCATATGCTATGAACAAAAGAACTGAGACTTACAGTGTTAAAATAATAACTAGGGACCGGAGCTGTGGCATCATAGGTTAAGCCTCCTCCTGTGGCATTGGCATCCCATATAAGCACTGGTTTCAGTCTTGGATGCTTCCCTTCTGATCCAGCTCTCTGCCAATGAATGGCCTGAGAAAGTAGTGGAAGATGACCCAAGCCCTTGGGCCCCTGCATCCATGTGGGAGGCCCAGAAGAAGCTCCTGGATCCTGACTTTGGATCGGCCCAGCTCCAGGCATTGCAGCCAATTGTGGAGTGAGCCAGTGGATGGAAGACCTCTCTCTCTCTGTAACTCTGCCTTTCAAATAAATAAATAAATATTTTTTAAAAAATGACTAGCCAAGATCCCACAGCTAATAAATCAAGGTAGAGCTGACACCCACATGACTACAAAACATGTGCTTTCAGTCTTAACCATGGTGCCCCATCTCTCCCAGTTGTTATCCAGGAAACTCAGTATCTGAGAATTTACCAGGGTTTATCCTAAAGTTCTTCATCTAAGCGCTAAAGGAATCAGACATGAAGAAGATTAAGGAACATGTAAACAGAGTTTGAGGCTCTCTACATTCATGCATTATTATTAGATTTGATAGGAAGAGAAGACCTTGGGTGTGTACATAGGATCAGGATTATGAAGGTATAATTACTCACCTACAGGACTAATATTAGGTTTCTTAATTTGAGAATGGCATTTTTACAAAGTATACAAAGGGACCACTGAGATCTAGTGACAACCATGGCATGCAAAATTAGTACACATGCCTCAGTGACTCACTAGAAGTACAAGACAAAACACAATTGCATTGCAAGTGCCCTGGAGATTCTCTATTCCAAACTTTATTTCACATGTGAGGACACTGAGCCACTTAAGTGCAGACATTTATCTAATGAGGCATAACTTGTTAATGTCAGGGATAAACTAGAACCCACATTCTAGGTACCACTACACTGGCAAGCCTAGGAATGAATTCTGGAGACAAAGCAAAGTAATTTTTGTCAGTCCCCAGGACCATCATTCTGGGAGGTGATAGGGTAGGGCTTGTAAAACAATTAGTTCCCCATAATGAAGGACCTCTCAAATCACTTTGGATAAATAACTTGAGTTCTAGGAAGAAAGAAATCACATTTCCACATTTGATCTAGGGAAATCCTACTATGCTCTTGTCTGTGTAAACAGAACAAAAACACTGAAGATACAGGAACAAACAGTGAGAACACAACAAGCACACTCAGCATCCTGAGGTAATGAAGGCTGATCAGAAATTCTGGAAATAGAAGCATGGATCCTGACTTCCAAAAGACAAGCTCAAGAGGCTGGAAGGGATAGCACAGGGGCACTATCACAACTGAGTGTTTGTTCTCCAGTGGAGTTCCTAAGATTCTAGGGAAACTGCACTTTCTTCTCTCAAAATTCAGAATTAGAAATTCTGAAATGCTTGGTGTCTCTGTGAAGGTTTTGGGCTCTTTCCTAGTGGGCGAGTGGTTTCTGAGGCTATGGGGAATTGCTTGCACACAGCCACTGTGGGTTCCAGGTTACAAGTGTAAGTTAGCTCTCTATCTGTTGAGATCTGGAAGATACTATAGACATCACCCTCTTCTTCCAAGGGACTCCAACTGTATATTACATTTTCTTCCTTCTTTGCACAGCACACCAGTGTGTCATTGCAGTTGTTATTCACAGATGTCATTAAAATCTGTCTTCCTAAAATATGACACAGTGGTGCACTGAAGCTGGCTTGTATCAGCTTTTGAGAACTAACTGCTGCATTATCAGAAATTCTGAATGATGGTTGTTAAAGTCATCAAATTTAAATCATAAAATTTTGCAATTATTTTTGAAAAACAAAGGTAATACTCAAAATTTATCACTTTCAATTACTTTTGACATTTTAATGTTATCTGTGATTTTGAGATTGCATACACCTATTGTGTTTGTACTTTGTAATGTTGCATAACTGGCTATATCTTCCCAACTCCACATGACTTGAAATCAGTCATAGTTGGAGTATTTACAGCACAGAATTTGACAGATGGTACAAACTAGGGCTTGATTTTTGGTTTGTGACTCTAGACTTAAGAAGTGATGGAGAAAATGTTATCAATTCATACCGAGCTTAAAAGTGGGTTATGGGGGCTGGCACTGTGATGCAGCAGGTTAAAGGCTGGGCCTGAAATGCCGGCATCCCATATGGGTGTTGGTTCTAGTCTTGGCTCTTCCTCTTCCAATCCAGCTCTCTGCTATGGCCTGGGAAAGCAGTAGAAGATGGCCCAAGTCCTTGGGCTCCTGGACCCATGTGGGAGACCCAGAAGAAGCTCCTGGATCCTAGCTTCGGATTGGCACAGCTCCAGCCATTGTGGCCAATTGGGGAGTGAACCAGTGGATGGAAGACCTCTCTGTCTCTGTCTCTCTCTCTCTGCTTCTCCTTCTCTTCAAACTGTACTTTATACTTTGTGTGTCTGTGTGGATGTAAACAGTTGAAATCTCTACTTAGTATAGAGTTGGTCTTCTGTATATGAAGTCAGTTAAAAACAAATCTTCATGAAAAATGGGATGGGAAAGGGAGTAGGAGGTGGGATCGGAGTAGGGGTGGAGGACAGGAATGGGGGGGAAGTAACACTATATTCCTAAAAGCTGTATGAAATTTGTATTCATTAAATAGAAACCTTCAAAAGATAAAATAAAATGTTCTGTTTACTGATTTGTATGTGCTTTAAGAGTTTTGTGTTTTGCTTTAATGCATCCATAGTTTAAAGCTACAAAATTTTTGATAAGTCTGTTTTTAAACATGTTTTTATTAAAGCAATAAAAGTTGTGAATTACTGAAGTGTTACTAATAACAATCATATTTAAGTTCAGGTAATAGCTAGATCTGGAGCTGACAGTTGGTAGATAAGAAAGCAATCATATTTAGAGACAATAATCTTAGAGCAGTCTTGGAAAATCTATTAACATGAGGATCCTTCCTATTGATTGCTGCAGCCCTGTGAGGCAGTAAATAGAAGAATAAGAAAGAACTGACATGTAGCTTTCTAATTAAGAGGGACCTAGAAAGTAAATATATTCAGCAGTGTTGTGGGGAGCAACTCAGACTAGACTGTTACTGGAATTAAGACTTATTCTATGCATCTGCTCTCCCACAATATGGCGCTGGGAGAGAAGTAAACAGCTTCTACACAGCTGCCTCCAGTTCAACCAATAAACAGCAGGACCTGCTCCTGATTGGAGGAGAGCAGCGTACTCGGCGTGTGGGTAGCAGAGTTGGGATTGGTGGAAGAGGACTATAAAGGAGGAGAGAGACAACATGCACCAGGAACATCTATCTGAAGGAACACCTGAGCAGCCCCCGAGAGAGCCGGCCGGCGGTGTGCCGCTCCCCTGCAGAAGTGGGGAAAGTGGCAGGGGGAACCGCCCTTCCACGGAGGTGGAAGGGCCAGTAGCCAACCCGGGAAGAACCAGCAGCAAACCCGGGAAGGGCCAAGCAGACAAATGAACAGCGCAGGGTCCTGTGTCGTTCCTCCACAAAGAGGGGGAGCGACATAATGGTGCCGTGACTCGGATATGAAGCCTAGGCAGGGTCCTGTGTCGTTCCTCCTCGAAGAGGGGGAGTGACATAATGGTGCCGTGACTCGGATAGGAAGCCTAGGCAGGGTTTAGTGTCGTTCCTCCACGAAGAGGGGGAGCGACAAGTGTAAATGTGGGGATCACTTGTTTGTATCTGTAAGATAGTAAGGCATTAGTGGTAAGCTGATAAAGTTTTTTGATTCCAAGGTGTACAGAAAAACCTGGCTCAAGAGTGAAATACTATAACTGTTAGAAGGATTTACTCTAAATTAGAATTAGTGATGATTTGCAAAATGGTTTAGGTACAGAGAGAGGGGTCTTCCATCTACTGGTTCACTACCCAAATGACTGTGACGGCTGAAGCTGGGCCGATCAGAAACCAGAAGCCAAGAGTTTCTTCCAGGTCTCCCACATGGGTGCAGGGGAGCAAGGACTTGGGGCATACTTCATTGCCTTCCCAGGTACATTTGCAGGGAGCTGAATCAGAAGGGGAGCATCTGGGAATCAAAGCTGTACCCATATAGGATGCCAGCGCTGTGGACTGTGGCTTAACCTACTGTGCCACAGTGCCACCCTCAAATGGCTTCCTAAGGTTTGAAAACCTGGATTAGTTATAACAGTGATTTATGCAGATACACAGTAGTGAAATTGAACCAATGTGTGTGTGTGAGAGAGGTCTCAATGTTTTCCTGTAGAACTTTTACCTTATTTTGTTTTAAAAACTTCTTTTTGAAATTTTTTTTTTGGGGGGTGGCAGAAGAGTTGTGAACATGTATTTTTTTTTCTGCAAAAACAAAGACATTACCTTCACAAAGCTGTTGTCCAGAGATCAAGAGTTGTGGCTAAGAAGCTTTTAATTTCCCAAGCTGAGGAGCATGGCAGCCTTTGGAGAGCTAGTTTGGAATTAATATTAATTCCGTTACTATGTAGCTGTAGGATTCCGGAGAAGCTGCATAGGTTCACTGCGTTTAGTTTCTCATTTACAACATGAGAATTCAATCTCCTCCTCATATACTCATCAACACTTATCTATGTCTATACACTCGATCGTTCATTATCTGTGGAGAAAAACTGGTAACAGTGATTGCCTCTGAGAAGGGAAACTGCCTTCCCACTGTGTAACTTACGTTCATGGTAGAATTTGTGCAAGTGGATAAAACAACTGCTTCACTGGGAAACACTCCAATGAAAGCAAAATCAGGGACAAACAGTGTCAGAAGTCAGAAAAGCGACCAAAGAATAATTACGCGGGTCTTTGTGACCCAGTAGGTTTCAAAGGGATGTTGTAGTGACAGTGTTTCCCTTCAAGGGACAGGCAATTCCCTGGAAGGGTGGAACCAGAAAGGCACAGAGGCGTAAGCTTTGTGGTTGCGTCTAAGTGCCGGGTTCGCGAGCGTCCCAGTAAGAGCGGGGCGCCATTGCGGAGGGCGCGGCCTATTCTGGGAGGGGTCTGGCAGGGTCCCGATTCGCAGGGCGTTAGCACTACCCACTCATAAAATTCCAAAAACCCTTTTTCCCAGAACTCCGTTTTTCGTTTATCCTGCAGTTCCCAGCTTCTCCTGCGTGGCCGTTCCACGTTTGTCACTCACTTGCACGCAGCCAATCAGCATCTAGAGGTTCCGCTACTTTGCCAAAGGAGAGTGGCGCGCCAATGAACGTGCAGAATCACAGGAGAGGGGCGGGCCTGCGCGTGAGAGAGAGCCAGTCACAGTCCCTCGATGGCCGGCGCTCAGTAAGCAGGCATTTCCGCGCTTGCTTCCCCAACATGGCGGCCGCTAAGGACGGTTGTGGCATGGAAGTGACCGCGGGGAACGGGCGGCGGCTTCACCTGGGGATTCCTGAGGCAGTATTTGTGGTAAGAGACACGCTGTTACTCAGTACTTTGGTGCGAGGTTTTTTGTTCCCTGTAGGCATCTAGGTCTGCACTGTTGGGGGAAGGAGCTGAGCTGAATGTGCAGCAGTGGAGCCCTTGTTTCGCTCTCCGTCCCCTCACCTGGAGTCACTGAGCTGTATTGGAACTCGCCTGAAGAAAGGCAGCCTGAGAAGTCCCTGGAAGACTAGGGCACGGGAGGGGACGGGAGGATCTGCCAGCGGAAGCGGGGTCGGCCGCTGACAGGTTTCGTCCCCGGCTGCCTGGAAAAGTCAAGAGGCCAGGAGCTGCAGACTCGGCTGAGATATCGGAGAATAGAATCCAGTCTACCGAGGGAGCTCAATGGTCTGCTACCTCGGAAAAATGGAGGAAGAGACCGAGGAGAAAGTAGGATGTTAGGGTGAAAGTGTAAAGTTCTTATGTGACTGGCTAAGGAATTGAGGCTTTATCCAGTAGATAATTGAAAGATGTTTGATTAAACCACGATCTAATCGTACTTGGTTTTAGGTAACAAACTTATTAGAGAATGCTTTGTGTGGAGTTGACAGGAGAAGCGGGGGATGCAATTTGGAGGCTTCACAGACTAGGGAGACCAACCCAACCCCAAACAAAGAAGAGCCATCAACCCTACCCTTCCATCAAGCTATTCTAGAAATAGTATTGGAAAACTATTTGAATACTGAGAGAAAACCTCTGGCTTGCCTTCGAGATCAACATCATCTGTCTTTCCTCTATTTAGTTGTACTGATGGACTTTGTGGACTTTTCCTGACCTTTTGGTTTGTGCCTGTATTGCTGTACCCCTACCTTTTTATTAATTGTGCCTTACATCCTTCAAAACACCTATTTATTTGATTTATATCACACTTTATATTGTGTATTTGCATTAGTTCATTAAATTTTGCATTTTCTTCAGTTACTTTAGGTCTTCTCCCCAGATGTTGCACTTAACTAATCATAACAAGAAATAAAGTTTATTGGGTGTCAACCACTTTCTCAGTGATCTTACAAAACTCTTATCAGTTAATTCCCGATTACCATTCCCAATTTGTAGAAGATAAAACTAAGGCACAGATCCTTGAGTGACTTTCCCCAGGTTCAAAAATAAGATTAGTGGAATGAATTCTGGTTTGTAATATATTATTTTTGATATTAAAGGAAGATGTAGATTCCTTCATGAAACAGCCTGGGAATGAGACTGCAGATACAGTACTAAAGAAGCTGGATGAGCAGTACCAGAAGTATAAATTTATGGAACTCAATCTTGCTCAAAAGAAAAGGAGGTAAAGTGTAAAATTTGGTAAAATTTTCTGAAGTTTTTTTCCATGATTTTTTAATGTTTAAAAAATTTGTAAATTTTTATTAATATAAATTAACTTTAAAATAAATATAAATAAATAGAAAACCTTTAGTATAAAATATATTAATTTTAAATGGCTTAAACTTTTACAATATTGAGATACAGTTTACATGCAATAACATGTCCAGATATCAGTTGCTCAATTTGATGAATTTTGACAGATATATCCAGTTTTGAAAACATTGCCTATGTCAGTATATAGAATGTTTCCTTCACTCCAGGAAGTTCCCTCATGACTCTTTTTAGTCACTACCTACCTGTACCTTACCCTGATGCTACTGTTCTGATTTTTTTTAACCAAAAGTTTTGTCTATTGAACTTTATAAATGGAAGCATGTAGTAACTACTGTTATGTGTCAGGCCTCTTATACCTAGCATAATGCTTTGAGAATCATTCATGGTGTTGTATCAGTAGATGAATTCCTTTTTAGTGCTGAGTCATGTTCTGTTGTGTGTAGATGTACCTTAATTTTAATCTATTTTTATTTGTTTGCCTATGGGTGGACATTTGGATTGGAATTGTTGAGTAATATGGTAAATGTGTGTTTCACTGCTATGGTCTGAATAAGATATAGTTTGAATAGGATATGGCTCCTGAACTCACGTAGACTTTTAATCCCCAAGGTTATAAGTTAATGGTACTAATAGAGTGGAAATTCAATCCAGTTATGGTGTTTAGGAGCTTGGGCCTAATCCTTAAGTCACCAGAGGCCTGGCCTCAGAAGGTAGTTCCTGTGAGAGGGTTGGTTATAAAACATGAGTTGGGCCTAGCCACTGTCTCTGCTTCCTGGCTCACTATGTGATCTTTCTCCACGTGGTCTCTGCTATTGCCAAACTCTGGCTTCCCCAGATAGCTGAACCAGTGAGGTCTTTTTCATCTTGGGCTGTGAACCTCCAAAACCTTGAGCCCATATAAATCTCCCTTCATAAGTAGCTTGTCTTTGGGATTTTGTTGTAGTTTCAAAAAAGCTGAGGAATACAGTCCTCCAAGGTGGCTGTACCATATTCTCCCACCAGCAGTGTTTGAAGGCTTCATTTCCATGTTTAGTATTTTGTATTATTTAGTGTTATTCCACATTTAGTATTTAGTATTATATTAGCCAACATTTAGTATTGCCAGTCTAAAGATAATTTTAAAAACATAATAAAATGAATATTGAAGACCTTGTTATAACAAATCTAGGATCATAACATCTTGGATGTCTAGTTCATCCTTCTAATTTTGCCAATGACATCAGAGACTCACAGAGGTTATGACTGTCCCAGGATTTCATAACTAATAGGCATAGGTCAAAAGTATCCTTCCTCTCAACTCTCTGTCTTCCTGTAGTATTTTATAGAGCTTATAAAGTCAATTCACTGTAACAGATATTTATGGCTATCTGCTGTGTGTGGTATGTGTGTATGTGTGCCTGTGCACACATACGTGTGCCAGCATTCTTCTGTCAATTAAATATATATGGGATGCCAGCTAGCTACCAGATAATTTTTGGGTGAAATAAGGTTCAGTATTTTTTTTCAACAGGACAATCTCAAGAAGATGATAAGTGGCCGGCACCGCGGCTCACTAGGCTAATCCTCTGCTGTGGCGCTGGCACTCCAGGTTCTAGTCCCAGTCGGGGTGCAGGATTCTGTCCCGGTTGCTCCTCTTCCAGTCCAGCTCTCTGCTGTGGCCTGGGAAGGCAATGGAGGATGGCCCAAGTGCTTGGGCCCTGTACCCGTATGGGAGACCAGGAGGATGCACCTGGCTCCTGGCTTCGGATCGGCGCAGTGCATCAGCTGTAGTGGCCATTTGGGGGGTGAACCAACGGAAGGAAGTCCTTTCTCTCTGTCTCTCTCTCACTGTCTAATTCTGCCTGTCAAAAAAAAAAAAAAAAGAAAAGAAAAAGAAGATGATAAGTATGTAAATAAGATAAGTAAACAAGACACAGCAGTAAAGGTACTTTGGTACAAAATAATGAGCTAGCCCAGGGGAAGGTGTGAGCTGAAGGAGGCAAGGGAGATTCAAGGGAAGCATCCAAGAGGAGCAAGTGGTTGTATAGAAATGTAAAGGTTGGTTGAAATTTTAGAGGCAGATTAAAGTGAAAAAGGATAGTCTAGACATAAGGTACCACTTATGCAAAGGTGCAAAGGTTTTTTTTTAATATATTTTCTCATTTTGTTGACAGTTGGAGAAATTAGAATATAGACTATTAGATAAGATGAAAAGTTATTGACTTGGACAGATAGTGTTAACAAAAACAGAATAGAGGGCACTATATTGTCATTTTGGAAGAAAAAACATATGTAAAGAAGTATCTGGAGGCCCCCGATATGAGCAGCTCTGAGGAATTCCCCAGCTTCGGGGCTCAGGTGGCCCCCAAGACCCTCCCGTGGGGCCCCAAACGATAATGATCAAGCAGCAGAACGCTCTCCAGCCTGCTGAGCTGAACCACACGACGGTCAGCCTCGATCTGGCCCAGCAGCTGGCCCCTCCGCCGTTGTTGGCGCTCTCCCTCCCCAAGGTCTCGCAGTGAAGCCTGGCGTGGCCCGGCCCCCGGCGGCTGCCTCTCCAGCCCGTCGGCGCCCAGTGTGTTCAAGATCTGTTCTGGGACAGGCCTCTGCCGTCGCAAACACTAAACCAAGGTAATCCTGGTCCACCCAGCATGCCCGTCAGCACGCTGACCTTCATCTCCGACAGCACCACACCTGTGGCTGGGAGTCGACTTCCTGTGTCATGACCTCAGGAAATAAATGTCCTTGACTTTGTAAACCCCTCCCCCCAAAAAAAAGAAGTATCTGGAAAAACCTGTGCTAAATAATATTAACAGTGGTAATCTCTGCATGGTGAGACTAGCATTTTTTTCTTTATCCATATTCTTGATTTTCAACAGCGTACATGTACTGCTTTGATGATAATAAATGCTTATTTTTTAAAGAGTAAAACCATTAGAATAGAGATCACTTACAGGGAGGTTATTGATAGAGAAGAAAATGAGCCTTGGGACCAAGCCCTGGTTGGGGGAGGGAGGGTGGATTTGTGTATCAAAGATACCTGGCTAATTCTAATACTGTGGTATAGTAGGATCCTGATTCCAGCTTTGTGTATACTTCAGACCTCAATATAAGGGGTAAAAATCACAGTGTATAACTACAGCCTTCCTAATTAGATGTACGTGGGGTATGTCAGTGATCAAAACAGGCAAAATCCCCGGCTTTATGGAGGTTACAGTCTACTGGGATTTAGATAAACATTTATTTCAAAACTGTCAATAATTACGGTGTACCTAATATGTGCCCAGCATCATCTTATGCCAATAGATAAAACAAATAAAAATTTGTGTCCTCATAAAGCTGGCATTCTAGTTAGATTAGTAAATTACACAGTAGGTTAAAAGATAAGTGTCATAAAGGTAGGAAATAAAGCAGAGTAAGGGGGTGTAGATGTAGCAGTAACAGGTGTAGCAGTAACAGCTACTCAGTGTTTTGAGAAAATGAGTGATATGTTCTGACTTTTCCTTATTATTGTATGAATCACTTTTGTTGCTGGTTGATAATATTTTCAAGAAGGGGCAGAAGCAAGGAGATCACTTAGGAAGCCTTTTCACTAATCTAGGTAAGGTTGATGGTTTGTACCAGGGTGGTAGCAGTGGGGATAATGGGGAAGAGTGAGCTTCTGAATATTTTGGAGTTGGAACTAGCCTGATTTCCAGGTGGATAGGAGGTAAAATGTAAAATGAAGACATGGAAGATATCTCCCAGGTCTGAGTGACTGAAGGGGAGAGGTGCCATCATCTGACTTGGGGAAGACTGAATGGAACAGGTTTAGGAGAATATCGAGAGATCAGTTCGGGATACCTTGAAGATGCCTTTGGGAATCCATGTGAAGATGTTAAGTAGGCACCTAAATAAAATTAGTCTGAAGTTTTGGAGAGGTCTGAGATAGAGATAAAAATTTGAGAGATATTTAAAAGCCATTGAGGGGCCGGTGCTGTGGTGTAGTAGATAAAGCCGCCGCCCACAGTGCCAGCATCCCATAGGGGCGCCAGTTTGAGACCTGGCTGCTTCACTTCTGTTGCACCTCTCTGCTATGGCCTGAGAAAGCAGTAGAAGATGGCCCAAGTCATTGGGCCCCTGCACCCATATGGGAAACCTGGAAGAAGCTCCTGGCATCTGGCTTTGGATTGGCACAGCTCTAGCTGTTGTGGCTAATTAGGGAGTGAACCAGTGGATGGAAGACTCTCTCTCTATATATATGTATAACTGACTTTCAAATATATAAATAAATAAATCTTTAAAAAAAAAAAAAAAGCCAGTGAACTGGATGGACTAGATCACAAGAGTTCATTTAGATATTTTTTTATTTTATTTTATTTATTTTTTTTTGACAGAGTGGACAGTGAGAGAGAGAGACAGAGAGAAAGGTCTTCCTTTGCCGTTGGTTCACCCTCCAATGGCCGCCACGGCCGGTGCGATGCGGCCGGCGCACCGCGCTGATCCGATGGCAGGAGCCAGGTGCTTCTCCTGGTCTCCCATGGGGTGCAGGGCCCAAGCACTTGGGCCATCCTCCACTGCACTCCCTGGCCACAGCAGAGAGCTGGCCTGGAAGAGGGGCAACCGGGACAGAATCCGGCGCCCCAACCGGGACTAGAACCCGGTGTGCCGGCGCTTTAAGGTGGAGGATTAGCCTAGTGAGCCGCGGCGCCGGCCAAGAATTCATTTAGATAAAGAGAAGATGATCTAAAGTCTAGGCCCTGTAACCGGAAGAAGTTAGGGAGAAAATAGGTAGCCACCAAAAAAAGTTCAAAAACAAACTGCTAGTGAGGAAACCTGGGAGATTGTGGAGTTCTCATAGCCAACCTAAAAAAATGTATCACAGAGAAGGAAATAAATGTATCACAGAGAAGGAAATAATCACCTGTGTCAAATGCTGCCAATTGCTAA